AACTTATGGTTATGGGGGGGAAGGGGTGAGAAGGGATAAATTGGGAGTTCGAGATTTGCAGATACGCAGTACTGTATAAGAAATAGATAAACAACAAATTTCTTCTGTATAGCACAGGGAACTATATTCAGTGTCTTATAGTAACCCTATAATGAAAAGAATATGAAAAGGAATATACATATGTACATGCATGACTGAAACATTACTCTGTACACCAGAAATTGACACGTTGTAAACTGACCAAACTGCAATTTTTTAAATTAAAAAAAAGCATGGGCCAGCATAATCTGCATCTCCTGGGAGCTTGCTAGAAATGCAGAGTCTCAGGCCCCACCCCAAACTTCCTGAATCTGAATCTTCTCAGGGAGAGCTGCTCAGGTGGGACTAGCAGGCTAATCGTGATTTGTGGGCGACGGGGCATTTCCAGGGCACTAAAGTCCTGGTGGCTCAGACTGTGAAAACATGGAATCTAGGTGCTAGACTGGTAGCAAGGAGGGCTGGGGGTGGATGCAAAACTAAACTTCATAGACTTAAAGGCCCCGAGCGTTACTGCACACGTACCTCAATGCCCGAGCTCCCCTGACCCCGGCTCGGCAGTCACTGTGTATTTTTCTCACCCGCAGTCCTTCCAAATGTTCCCACCTCCAAGTATGCATGTGAGTGTGTGTGTGTGTGTGCGCGCGCACTTTACCTGTTTACTTTTTTGCATACTGTAACTGCACCGTCACAAAAAATTCTGTCATCTCAGTGTTACTTCTCATACTGGTTTCAAGCTGTTTTACTTTAATGACAGTTAATAAATGCAATCTTTTCTGTCCTTCTGCAAGTTTGCTCTGAGACCCATCTGTAGCATAACATCTTAATTGATGGCCCAGGGATCGTCATTTGTAACAATTTCCTACCCAAGCTAATTCTGACCGCTGATCCCCCTGGAGCCTGTCTCTTGAACACTGGCACCTGAGTCCTTCAGAGCCTGCAGGCTGGCCCGTGGGAAAGCAGAGAGCTGGGGTATGTGTAGCTTGGGCATGAAACAGAGATCGAAATGCAGTGACATTCCTACGCATGCCGGCCACCCAAACCCATGGCGTTACAGTAAACAAACAGATGCTCCTTTCCATTTTTATCTTTCAAAGTACATCCCACACACTGACCTCCAGAAGCCACTTCTGCTTTCCAAGAGCCAATGGAAGAGAAGATGAACTATTTCAAAGCAGATAGCAAGATTTATGCTTTCGAAAGGACAGACAAATTAGCATTTGGGGAGTAGTTCCACGATGTTTTCTACTGTCTTTACAAGCAAGTGTGTAATATCAAGGGCGGTTAAGGTTTTGACGATGCGGGTGTGACGTCTATCCAAGCGGCTGCCCCTGCTTACAGACATGCCTGCCGGATCTTTTTGCAGCGGCGGCGTCTGCAGCTCTTTGTTCAAGGCGCTGCTTCCATCTGGCTGCCTTCCATGCATGGGTCCCAACAGGAAGCCCAGTCCTGTGGTTTTCGAGGAAGAAGGCTTAGGAGCTGAGCCCAAAGTTTGCCTTACTTAAAATTGCAAAGCTGGAGGGATGGTATATAGCTCATGAGGTCCTGGGTTCAATCCCCAGTACCTCCATTAAAAAAATAAAACTTTTTAAAAATTGCAAAGCTGGTGGTGGAAATGCAGATGAGCTAGAAGTGTCTGCTTACTATGAGAAGGGGAGGGAAACAGTAGGGATGCCTTACCTTTGGTTGGTTGGGAAAAACCTGGAGGGGGGCGCATTTACTGAGGGGAGAGGCCAAAGGGTGGGCTGCAAACGCGCCTCTTTGGTTTATTGATGATAAATATGGTGGAGCCGGGATTTTTCTTTTTTAAAAATAAAGATTTGGTTAGTAAAGCCATAACCTAGAGGGGACTCTTTGATTTTCAACCTTGAAGAGCTTTTTTCAAAAAACTTCACTCAGTATATTATCTTTAGTACTGATACCATTTTGAAATTTGCATGCATATAGAATAAAGTGTGGTTTTCGAAGTATGATGAAAATTCATAGAAAAACTGAAGCTGTTAAGAAAATCTGAATAAACTTGAACTTTTTTTTCTAAACAGAATCACCCTTGAAAGCTAGTTTACAATGCCCAAAACAACCCTACACCTGAAAGGTATAAAATGCGTGTGCGCGTGTGCGTGTGCCCCCGCGCGCGCCGGGTTAGGCAAAGCAGTTTCTCTTTTCTTAGATTTACTTGTTGGTTTTTAAAGGAAAATGCTAGCGCTGTGGGATTGTTTCAGAGGGGAAGAGGGACCGTAAAGAAAAGCACTGCTTTCATGCCAGTCACAGCAGCCACGGTTTATGAGTCTGTAACGAATCAAAATTAGGAATGTAGGAATCCCAAACGGGGAAGATCTGGCCCGAGGCGCGCTGCCTGGAAAAATCCGTTAAGACGAGGTGGTAGGACTGGGCGCTCTGGATTCCGGACAATGAAGCCCCGGGTAGGCCGGGTGCAAGGGCAGAGAGCGAGCGGACTTCTCCCACCTGGCGCCCTCCTCCCCCTCGGCCCCCCTCCTCCCCTCGCCACGTCCCCCCTCCTCCCCTCGCCACGTCCCCCCTCCTCCTCTCGCCACGTCCCCCCTCCTCCT